ATTGTATTTTTTAACAGAATCCGGTAGACTGTTCCATAATATAGGTGCGGAGAAAGAAAAGGCACGTTCACCGTATGGCACAGAGTTCACAGTAGGGACAGTGAAAAGAAGTTTAGATGATGAGCGTAAGCTCCGTTTCGGGTGGTATTGTTGTAGAAGGAACGACAAGTAGGCTGGACAAAGTCCATGGATAATCTCAAATAAGCGCCACCTTCGGATAAGCGGCCCTTCTATCGGCAAAAATGTAAAATAAGCGCCTCTCCTCAAAAAAGCGCCCCTCTTCCCTTCCCCTGTTTTATGGAAGAGTAATGCGATTACAAAGGATGTATAGTTTTCGTCGTGTTCAGTCACAAACAAGTGATTATCGACTTATTCCAGCACTGCACACTGACCTTCGCGACGGATGGTAGTGAATATCTGCTGATTCATTGCCTAATATAAAGCCCAACCAACCTTGCAGGCAGGCATACACGGGATAAAGCCCGTAATTCTTCCAGAGAGACAGGATCCATCTGAGACTTCTGAGAGACTGACACGTACATATATTGCAAAAAAACCCGATGATATCTGACCACGTTTTGGGAAAAAACTTAATAAGCGCCTCCCTCGAATAAGCGCCCCCGTCTTCTCCTTAATTTGGAATGAGCTCCCCGGNCGCCTCCCTCGAATAAGCGCCCCCGTCTTCTCCTTAATTTGGAATAAGCGCCCCGGGCGCTAATTCGAGAATTTACGGTACTTTGTCTTTCAAAACGTTATTTAAATCCTCTTCACAGACACTTCAAAAACACAACCGCACACTCACTATCTATACCGGCATAGATAGTTGGTAGTGTAGCCAATAAATGAAGAGCATTTGTGATATAGCAGTAGCAATAGTAGAGTTATACTAATAATGAACAGGCGCACGACAACATAGAATCTATTTTTGAAATAATCATTACCTTGACGCTCCGACCACGCCTTAGTGCTGACATGTGGAAGGCATTGGTAGCACCAGTCGACTGGATTTGTCTCGTTCGAAGCGAAGCAGTACCCATTTATCAGGCAGGAATTGTTCTTTTACCCAAACAAAAAAAGAAAAGAAAAACAGAAACAAAAAACTTGGTCAATGAACGATCCCTAAGCTTTACTAGAGGTCTCAGTGTATTGAGTATTGATCATTCTGATTTGACTTAGGCAATGAAGGAATGAACGAGAAGCCGGAACTGTATCCATGCTCGTAGCGTGTGGCTATTTCGACATTAATTAAGATAATATAGTCTGTCTAGTATATGTTCTATAATTAAATTTACTCCAAAAAGGGATCTTCGATGTTGCAGACGCTATATAAAATATTGCTGCAGATGATATTCCAAGTACTGCATGGAGAGATGCTGGGGCGGTGAAAAGTAAGAGACTTCACTTCGTTACATCAAGACGCAAGCCTTTAACATTCAGTCATTATGTCTATCACGCGTCGTCTTTCCCCAAATCCGAAAAAAGATGCAGACTCTTTCTTTCTTTTCTTTGCCTTTTTTTTGTTTCTTTGTTTCTTTGTTTCTTTGTTTGTTTTTTTTTTTTAGATTGATTGTTTTCGTTTTTGTACTTATATTGTTAAGTTTACCCCGACTTTCGTAGCCTAACATTGCACATAATTAATTAATTTCGATAGATGGCAGTAGTTCGTTTTGAACGTTTCACTTGATCTTCAAGCAAATTTAATCGGATATACATTGTCCCTTCCGTCCCATACCATACCAAAAATAATTGTCCACAATCCAAGATGCACGATTGTATACAGGACAAAAACAATACTATGGAATAGCGATCGATCTTAGCTAGTACCAAAATGCCCTTACCTTGAAAAAGCATCCAGTAGAAACATTGCAACTCATGCAAGCTGAATCGTATGATATAAATGTGAGATTTTTATGGCTTTTGTGTTCCCCGTCGTTAGAGACAGATATATACAGGCCAGCGGCTGAGGTTCCCGCATTGTTTTCATCAAAATACCCTTGCGTCACTGGTGATTCAGGTAAAGAACAGTCTGTAAGCACCAAGTCTGTCATTATACCAGGGAATTCATGCTCCGTATTGTTTGTGCCTGTCTGAATAGGGGTAAAAAATCAATTATAAACATAGAACAAATAAGAACTTCTTTTGCCAGGAAAAAAATAATGTCGATCTCCTTCAGAAAAGCAACAAAAAATGCCATTTTGTTTTCCGTTGACACTGACCTGGAAATTGTTGGTATTTGATAAATAGACACCGAGCAGTCCTCAGCAGTGTAGTCCTTGTTGCAAACGCAGGATCCATTGATGCATTTACCATTAAACGTACAAGTCATTGGGACATAGCAGTTCACTGATCTCGTCTACTGAAATAGAAGTTTCTTCGCCACTGCCATTCGAAGATTGAGATATATTTATTGCTGCCAAATTTCCACATTCGTTCATTAATATAGCAACGCTGCCACTTGCGAAAGATAAGTCTCCAGTCAGCTGTTGATAAAATAAAAGAACAATCACTGTTATAGAAAAAAAATTTTTGATAGACAGCAGATATACTATTGTATCAAATGAAAATTAGCTTTGTTTTTCGTGCTACCTACTCATTGTTTATATATAAAAGCATATCAGTAATGTTAAAAGAGCGTTCTTATAATTAGGATGCAAATCAAAAGCTGTTGTAAATATGAGGTATATCGCAAGAAAGCCATCTCATTCATACCATTGTCAAAATTAATTGCTCAGATAATCTTTTGCTGTTTACTTACCTCAACATCAGCTGAACATGTGTTTACCAATGCCTGCACATTGACTCCAACTTTGGCACAGAGCTTGCCAATCTCAGTCTCTGATATTCTCTCCGCACAGTAGCTGGTGGCGTTTTCCTTGGATATTTGTCCAACTTGCGACGCCCGTCTAAAGCGTGGTTGTAACAGGGGAGTTTGTTTAAATATCTGAATTTCTTCCTCTGTGGGATCGTCAGAGTAGTGGACATCTCTTTTGTCTCGGTCGCACAGAAACATTGGTGACAAATTCTTTTTCATTGCGTTCGGAAAAGCGAGCTCAAAGGAATTTTTGCAGTCTCTGGTGTCGCACAAGCATGCCTCGGAATAGATAACAACCTGGTCTTCTAGAACAGGAGGGAGTGTGTCGAAGTAACTTTGTCCATTATTTATTCTAGAAAAATGTAAATGAAACAAAAAATCTGTTTAAAATATTGTCATTCAAATTGTGCGTGGCAGCCTGAGTTAAAAAAAGAAAAAAAAAGAAAAAAAGAAAAAAGTAAAGAAAAAAACAACACAAAACAAAACAAAACAAAATACAACTGCAGCAAGAAAACTATTTAAATTTCATTTTTTTTTTTGTCCCTTAAAGATGTTAAACAGAACATCCGTTAGACTGATAGGAAACCTAATGAAATTAGGTACCACTGGAAGTTCTTTTACTTTGCAAAAAACACGTAAATCGCAAATGTTCGTCATGTCAAAGGCCTAGTTCACACTAGCGACATAACGACATAAGCATAGCGACATATAACAAGCATGTTATTTTGTTATGTTGACAGTGTGAAAATCCTGACATAAATATATGTTATTGGCCAGCTGGGAGGTCCGTATGGTGAAAAACTGTGACCTCGGTCACAGTTTTTCCCTATACAGACCGAACATAAGCCGGCCAAGTTTATGGTTTTTTTTTTGTTTTTTGTTTTTGTTTTTTCCTGCGGTAAACTAGCTTACAAGAGGGTTTGTTACGCAACTTTGTCATTGAATCGGCTTTCGCGCCGTCTACAAACAATTCGTAAGAAATCTAACGAGCAAACGAGCGAGTAACTCAGATACTATACAAAGAAAGATGTATTAAAGAAAAGATTTATTTCGAGCTACTTTATGTTAGTTGCATTTGGTTCACCAGTTGAGTTTTCCAAATTTGTTTTTCTGGTGTGAAATTTCGTGCAAAGGTTGAAATTATACTACAAAAACAATTTCTGTCAGTCCTTGCGAATCAATAGAAATCAAACTTTTCTACCGTTAATTGGGTAGCAGATAGCGAGGAAATTCGTTAAGTGTACTCCACAGAAATTTTTTCGAATACAGCAACGATCAGAGACGTAAATGCGACTAAAATTGACTCATTTTTTACTCAAAATTGTACAGAGAGAGACACACAGGAATTTATGCTCCATCACAGCGCCGAGCTTCAAACAGCCAAACAAACTCTCACAACTTCAACAGACTCAATTGAAGTTACTTACAGTGACTTTCCTTGCCATTTAGAGTTGAATAGAGATAAACGTGCGTTGATTAATCGTCGATGGAAGTGTAAAAAGGGCGAAAGATTGACGATTACCGCTAATTCGTTCACGACAATAGATCAACACTACGGATTCCGCCCGCTGTGGCGGTCCGGATGAGAAAATTCCCCCCGTGGTTATGTCGTTATTTCGCTAGTACGAACTAGGCTTAAGACTCCGCTCCCGTGTCACACAAAGAAGTTTGGACACTTACAGTTACCAAGGAATCAGAAAAGTTATTTCTCATCGTTCACTGGAAGATAATTTAGGGTTGGTACAAAACTTGTCAGACTAACACAGTTTAAATCTTTTAACACTATTTTTAACCAATGACAGGTCTTCTGCGCGTTAAGTTTCTTATTTTTACAAGAGGTAGTTTTCGCCGATAAGTTGTACCAAACGAAATTTTGGAGCTGTGAGTATTGACTAATTTGGTGGATATAATATTCAAACGACCGGCACACAACAATGATCAACTCTTGAGTTTGCATTTTCTTAGCCACTTCTACATTATAAAAATGCATTTGTTGACGATGTAGAGAGCAAATCAAATATCATATTCAGGAAAGATTGGGTAAAAAAGGCGCTAAAAGCCACACAAATTTCGCTGCTCCACCAAACTCATCCACAGATTTCTCAGTGCACAACAGACGATGAAAGAGAAAGTGAAAACAAATTTCAGCTGTAAAATTGGGCTTGTAGGACTCTATAGAGTTTTATACGTTACAATTGGGTCTCATCC